AAAGACTAGCTGTTGGGTAGCTTGCAGTTACTACATGTATTCGAAACGGGCTCTCTTAACGGTTGGGGGTGCTTGCTGTTGCCTTTTCAACTAAATGCTACAAGGACCAATGTGCCGAATGCATTTGCTTAGAAGGTTAAGCATTCTTTTCCAATATGCTTTCGGATACCTCCCTTTAGGGCTTAATTCAAAGAGTGCCGGAGCCTGTAGATGGATTCCGATTGACTTCAATTGACTTTAGATCAGCCCCCGGATGCTAAAATATGAGTGCTGCAGGACTCAAAGGGAATGGTAATGCACCAGCTGTGGGGGGTGCAATAATGAGGAAGCTGGCTGAGACAGCATGCATGCAGGGGAGTTCAGTCTAGAGAGCACATTTTATGACATGCTCAACATTATGACCTCTACAAATATGTAAGCCTGGTTGTCCTTAGAGAGAACAGAGAAACTCTCTATAATACCAACATTAAAAGTGCATTAGACATTCTTCAATAACGACTGTGTCAGTTCAAGGCACCCAGAAAATTTAATTCTAAGGCCATGGGCATCCCATCCCTTTGTGTAATTTCACTAATCTTACTGAAGCTGTTTTGACTTCTCTTGAAATTTCTCCCATGTTGTGGTTGAGGAGAAACTCCCAAATGAATTCCACTTTAGGTTGAACATGGTGACAACCTAGGAATCTCTCTCTCTCTCTCTGTCCCTCTTCTCCTTCTCTCCTCTCCTCTCCTCTTTTCCTCCTCCTCCTCTCCACTCCTCTCTTCCTCCTCCTCCTCTCCTCTCTTCCTCCTCCTCTTCTCTTCTCTCCTCTCCTCCTCCTTCTTCTCTTCTCTCCTCTCCTCTCCTCCTCCTCCTCTTCTCTTCTCTTCTCATCTTCTCTTCTCTTCTTTTCTCTGACCCACAGGTCTTAGGCAGTATCAATCAATCCCAAATAGGAATAGGAGGAAGAAAGGAAGAATTCAAGCCAGAGGGGGCAGGCAATGCCATATTAGAGAAGAGACCTTGTCACAGGCTGCCAGAAGTGGTTTGATCCATTTCTGTCTAGCCTCCGTATACCACGGACATTCAAATAGAACCTAGGGATCTTTGGAATGTCTTAGGTAAGGCTAGTATTATGGAAACTTCAGACTTCCTTTGAAATACGTCAGATGGTTCATTTTAAGGAAGAACCCACACATTCATTTTGAATTTCTTTTTGGACAAAATCTCGGTAGCAAATCAGGAACATCTTCACCGGAGAGAAATAAGTCTGCATGCAGAAATTTGAGCTGTTTCCCATCTTGCAGTGCCAAGGAGTCGGTGTGACTGTTACAACTACATGGGCAGAACCAGTTGTGTGGGTCGTTTATATCTACCTGGTATCCTGATGGTATGGGAAATGCAAATGTAACTGTCCCTGCCTGTGTGGTTGCCGTATCCATATGGATTGGGTTGGATCCAGCCAGCTTTCTCCTGGTGAAAAAGGAAGGGGGTTCTCTTTGACCCTCCAGAAAGACTGTGGTAGTGATCTCTGACCACAATAACAGGCAGTACTGGGAACTATGGGACAAGCACATGCACAGGTCCTGAACAATTAGTGAGACTGAGTGATAAAGCTGGCTGGATCCAACCCACAAGCTGTTGTTATGGGGTAGCATGGGGCGGGAAAGCTTGCACGGTAGTGTCTGTGTGTGTGGTGGGAAGGGAGCTAAGCTCTTTCCACTAGAAATGCAGAACACAAAAAGGTTTACATTTTCTTGTAGGGTCTTCTAGCATTAGATTCCATATTGGTTTTGCCAAACAGCAAGAAAACTGGGCATTCTCTGGAATGTTGTGGATATCACTCGATTTTAAAAGGAAATTGGTTGCTTCTCCAGGATATTGTAAGTTTAGGAAGAAGAGAGATGGGATTTTACAAAAGAGGCTTTGTATATCTCCAAGACGGTGACCGTTTTTCCATTTGGCCTATTGTCTTCCTTGGGGTTTTTTAATGAATGTGGGGACGATGGATGTTTTGCAAGACAGATTGCAAAAAAGTCCCCTGTGCCCAGTTTAGATTCGGCAGCTTTTAGGTATGTTACAAGTGGCTAATTCCAGCTCTGCATTTATTTATGAACTAATTCCTACCCTTGAATGTATAATTCATAAGATGTGGATTGATAGTGCTGGCTGCCCTTTCAAGGCGAGGACTGCGTCTTCCAAGGGATTTATGATGGCAAGGTTTTTTGCTGTAAAGCAGGTCGCATGCAGTAAACTTCGGTGCATCCTTGGATGGTATTACCTCCGCCAAATATTGTAGATGGATATATTTTGCAGTCAGATGTGTTTAATTTATGTGCTTACATAAAGTCTCAGGAAGACTGACTGGGGTGGGGACATTACTCACTAGCCTTAGGGCATACTGGCCATTTAACTTACAAGGAAATTTCCTGGTGGGCCACTGCCCTGAGGGTAGCCAGAAACATGCAGAGACAAGACCCAGCATCTTGTCAACATCTTGGCTGAGACCCCTCAGTAATTGATGTCAGCTTACCAAATTGCCTTCTCTTGCATTGTTATCACTTTGTGGGAAGTGTTGACACCACTTACCTGAGAAACTGGCATGTTGCTGTCAGTTCAAAACAACTTCTAGTTTCTTGTAGCCCTACAGGGGTGGCTCAGCCACACCTGCTGTAAGGTAGGGTTGCTAGGCAGAATGGAAGAATGGCTATGGGCAAGGATATTGGAGGGGTGGGGTTGGATATCATGTTTTAACTGAAATCGTGTTTCCAATGTCGGAGGCAGTATCACATCACTTCTGGCTTTTAAAAAAAAAATACAGAAGTGACATAGGTAGCCCTAGGAATTGGTAGAGACTCTATGGTTTAAGCATAGAGTTTCTGGCAATTCCTAGAACTACCCTGTGTTCCTTCTGGTAAGTGACTACACAACAGCTGCTGTCGCATTTTTGTTCCATTTTTCCCCTGCTGCCATGGCAGTGGGCAATGTGGGTGGGGGGCTGGGGATCCCTTGCCTTGACCAGGGGCTTAGCAGCCCCGACCAGGTGTTATTTGCCCCCCCCCCCAGTCCACTCCTGCTGCCCCAGAGTTATTCAAACCCTGTGAAATGGTGTGGCTTCGCAGCTAAGAGTGTGAGTCAGAAGTCCTGGATTAGGGTTGCCAAATCCCTGGTCTGGTTGGGGGTTCCCCCAATTTTCAGGGCTTCAATCCACCACCAGCCACCTGGCTGGTGGGCGAAGCCCCACCCCCGAACAGGGACATCTCCGCGCAGCATCCCTGTCACAATGATGTTACCCGGAAGTGACATCATTGCGTTGCTGACATCGGGGGGTGCCACTCTAGTTTTTGGGCATACTCTATGGTTTTTAGGGCAAAAAAACCCCGTAGAGTTTTGCCCAAAAATTAGAGCAGCACCCCCAGCAGCGGCAACGTAATGACATCCCTTCAGGGTGATGTCATTGTGGCGTGGGCTCTTTTTGTAGCAAGAGCTCCTTTGCATATTAGGCAACACGCCCCTAATGTAGCCAATCCTCCAAGAGCTTACAGAGCTCTTCTTACAGAGGCTACTGTAAGCTCTCGGAGGATTGGCTACATGAGGGGTGTGTCGCCTAATATGCAAATGAGTACCTGCTACAAAAAGAGCCCTGCAAACGAGCAGGCTGGAGCCCCCCACTAGGAGCCGGTAGGGACCTGGCAACGCCATCCTGGGTTCAAATGTCTAACTTGTTAGATAGCCCCAGCCCTTATGCCCAGACACATTTGGGAGATAAGAAGAAGAAGAAGAAGAGGAAGAGGAAGAGGAGGAGATTGGATTTCTACCCCGCCCTTCACTGCCCAAAGGAGTCTCAGAGCGGCTTACAGACTCCTTTCCCTTTCCCTCCCCACAACAGACACCCTGTGAGGTAGGTGGGGCTGAGAGAGCTCTTGACAGAAACTGCTCTTTTTCAAGAACAGCTCTTATCAGAACTATGGCTTGCCCAAGGTCATCCAGCCAGGTGCAAGCGGAGGAGGGGGGAAGCAAACCCGGTTCTCCCAGATTAGAGTCCACGCACTCAACCACTATGCCAAACTTAACCACTACACCAAACAGTACAGCTCTGCCTTACAGTCTTGTTTTGATTTCTGCATTTCAGCATTTCAAATGTACTCTTAAAACATTAAGGTGGCTTTGAAAGAAGAATTTTAAAACACTTGGAATATTTAATATAATGGCAGCCTATCTACAGATAAATTATGGCGTACTAAAATATCTGCTAGCTTTGGGAATCATTTGGAGGCGTCTTTAGCAGCAAGCTTAAAAAAAAATCCATCATGTACGCAGCAGTAATTATAATCATTTACTAAACTATAATGTAGAAAACCGAAGTTCAGGATGAGTAAATTCAGCAAGTGTCTGCCTAATTATAAGAAATATGTTACTGGCTAGAATACGTACCTATCTAGTCTAGTATTCTACCTCTAATAGTCAGCAGTCGCGGGCTCCTGGGAAGCTCTCAAACAGAGCAGCGTTTTGTAATTTGAGATGCCTTGCTTCCAGACATGAATGCTCCATTTTGAGGTATCAAATAGCTAATGATGCTCCTGTCTTTCTGCAGTCGTCTTTGTTCGAAATCTGGAGCAAACCCAACTTCACACAAAGAGCATTCTGGCCACTGTGCAATCTTCTGCCAAACCATGCCCCCATTTGCATAACAGGGAACCTCTCATGCTATCAAATCTACACTACTGCTGCTTCTTATTTTTGATGTTCTGTTCACATACCTTGGATTTTATATTAATGAAATGAAGCGAGTGGGCAAGCTCTGCTGCTACTAGGGCAAAAAGCCACCCAAGAGGAATTTAAACGTGGGTCACCTAAACAAATAGGGCCTTTTTGGGGAGGGGGGTGTCTCTGTGTGACAGCTGTCAAGTTTAAATTAGGTCTAAAGATGGAAGGGATCTTTACACGAATGATTCGCGGAATGCAGAATGCTATCTGGTTTCTGTCTTCTGGGCCCTTCTAATGTATAGTGTAGGGATCTGATGGTCGATGGTGAGGACCAATTGCTGGATTATGTCTTCCAAGCAGTATATAGGTTTGGAACCCAGGAACTGAGGACACTGGCAGAACTGTAGGTTGAAGCTGGGTATGGGGATGAACTGCAGAGTATGTACTACTGTAGATCCAGGTGGTCAGTTGTGTTGGACTGAAGCAGTAGAACAAATTTAGAATCCAGTGTTCCCTCTAAGCTGTGGAGTCTTGTGAGCAGAAATTCTACTTTGTGAGCTCCTGGCATTAAAGTCGTGGACGAGCTATTTGGCTGCTGCAGAAATCAGTTTGCCCTGGAGCCGTCCTTCCTGAGTAGGCTTGCCAAGTCCCCCCGGGGGGGGAATCCTTTTTAACTTTTACAGCTAGGGTTGCCAAGTCGTTTCTCAGCCACAGCGGGGGACTCCTGGGCGGTGACTGGAGTGCGATCAAGTGATGGTCGTGGCCCTGCCCCCAGCGTGCCCGGCATCCTCACGTCACTTTCGGGTGACGTGCGTGCGGCGCGTGCGTGCTTTGCGTTTGCGCCAGACGCCGGACAGGAGTCCCCCGCTCCGGAGGAATTTAAACTTGGCAACCCTATTCCTGAGCCAAGACAAAAATGTGTGAGCTGGAGGCTAAAAACTGTGGGCTAGCTCACACTAACTCAGCTTAGAGGGAACACTGCACTGGACTCAAAATTTGTACTGTTGTGTTCATTTTATTAATTCACTGGGGGAAATACCCAAGTGTTAAGCAATGAGTTGGCTCTAGACAGCTATTCCACTCTCTCTCACCCCAGTCCCCCTCCTTATTACAGCCCCATTCCACATGGCTTGTGTACAAGCATGATTCTTAGCACTGCCCATCTTGGTAGCCAAAGAGAACTGGTTGAATCCAATGCACGGACTCAAATATATGGGTAGAACAAGCAACAATAATATACCGAGACAGCGTTGCATTTTATATCTTTTCAATATATTATAGCCAGGATAATTTTTTCTTAACATATTTCATTTGTTGCATAGTCCTAATATGTGAATTCGTATGGCTTTTGTTTAAGATGGACCCAGCAAAGCATAACTGCTCAGCAACTGTTTTATTTTTTTCCCCCCCTTTAGGGGCTGATGTTATCAATTTTGATGGCCATGTTGTGTTACCGTACAGATTTGGACACAAGAAAAAAACCTTGAAAACGCTGAAAGATGTCATCGCTTTGAAATTTAAAACCTCTGAAAGCGAAGGTGTAATCTTCCATGGAGAAGGCCAGCAAGGAGACTACATCACTCTGGAACTGAAAAAAGCCAAGTTGGTCCTTAGTTTAAATTTAGGTGTGTGTCTCATTTTGATCTGCCTATATACAATGGTAGACGCGACTCTGAGTTGGTATCCTTTTCCTTCTGTTTTCTCTTCCTCTCTCTGGAGGAAAGAGCTGGAATCGGTTTCTGGATACACAAAGTGATCTCTTATAGATTTAGATGGATATAGTTCGGTTTCTAGACCGAGCTAGAACATGTATTGGAACTCGGGTTCGATGCCGCCTGCAGCAGTTATGGCACGTGATGAAGGAATAAGTGGACAACCCCACTCCACCCCTCTTCCGGTCCCAAACATACATCTGACATGGACCCACCATGTTGGCTACCATGATCATTTTAAATAAGTTCGTACTTTCTTTGTAATAATTAATTGTACCAACGCAGGAACTCATTAGCATAATAGGCCACACCCAACAGCAGGAACTCATTAGCATATTAGGCCACACCCCTGACAGCACCGCTCATTCACATATTAGGCCACACACCCATTTTTCCAGAAGTGTGGTCATCCAGCCACACCCACCTTTTGCTTCTTATTCTCTTTACCTTGTTTGTTGTCAAAACCCAGGGCTTTTTGCTTGTTAGGCCACACACCCCTAATTGTAGCCAATCCTAATGAGTTGCTGCTGTTGGGTGTGGCCTATTATGCTAATGTGTTCCTGCTGGGCGTGGCCAACTTGGGAGCCAGCTGGAACTCCGTTCCTGTGCGTTCCTGCCCCAAAATAGCCCTAATGATTATTATTTATCAAATGTATACCCCACTCTCCCCGCAAAGCAGTCTCAGGGCAGCTTCCATACAAGCATAAATACAGTTAAAATCATACAATTATTTAAAACACAACAGATAAAACAAATACAAGCATATTTTTTTGTATGGCAGCAATTAAAATATTAACTTAGATGGCTCATTTTCAAAATGGATTTCCGCTTCCCAGACGTTCTCAGATGTTCTTCTGCTCGTAATTTCTTGTGGCATCGGCTCGATGTTAAAACCATGAGCCAGGGCACTATGACAACGGCGGCCCCTAATTAAATGCCTGGCGGAAGAGCTCCATCTTGCAGGCCCTGCAGAAATGTGAGAGATCCCGCAGGGCCCTGATCTCCTCCGGGAGCATTTCCACCAGGTAGGGGCCACCGCTGAAAAGGCCCCGGCCCTGGTAGTAGCCAGCCTGGCCTCCCTCAGGCCAGGGTGGGTCAACCGATTTTGAGACACAGACTGTAGTGCTCTCTGGGGTATATATGGGGAAAGGTGGTCCTGTAGGCATGTCAGACCCCGGCCATATAGGGCTTTAAAGGTAAGAACCAGCACCTTGAAGCGGATTTGGTATGCTATTGGCAGTCAGTGCAGTGTCCTCAACGCAGGCTGGATGTGCTCCCACCTGGGAAGACCCATCAACAGCCTGGCTGCGGCATTCTGCACTAGCAAACTTTTTTTTAAAAAAAGCAGATCACACAAACCTGGTAGTCATACTTGTCACATAGCATCTGCTTTTCGTACTTGTTCAGGTGCATGGTAGAAAGAACGGCCTCCTTCACTCCAGGTCAGGTATGAACCTACGGTCCGGACTTCTGAGATCCACCCCTTCCTCAGGCAAAGAGTTCCCTCGGGGCCCCTCTCCTCCCCCAGACCCAATCCAAAAATATGAAGGCAAACTGCTCCGAGGGCCCTCTGACTGTCACCTCAAGTGACTGGAATTCTGTCTCCCCTCCTAGTCGCTCACATTCAAACCCAAAGGAAGTACTGGCAGAAATAATTAATTTCTGTAAGTGAACAGTTATTATTTATGTGACTGAAAAAGTTTTTTTTAAAAAAATGACTACAGCTAAAGCCGTATTCCTGATATTGGACTTTGTGTGATCTCAAGGGGTCATACTGGCTCCAATATGAAGGTATATGAAGAAATTACCTTAGTTACAGATAACTCTTTTGTTTAACTATATCTTGCTTGCAGTCTTGTGAATAATAATTGTTCCCCTTGTCAAGGGTAAAGATTTCTCTTTTATTTATTGACTGCATCTTCACAATCATTTTATCTTCACAACAATTACGTATGGTGGACATATGCTGACTGACCTGAGACAACCCAGTGGGATTCATGATTGAGGAGGGATTTCAACTCAAGACTTTCTGGTGTTGGCACTATCTACTGCACCACATTGGTGTTATCATGTTGTTTCCCCTGTTCTTGTGGGCTAAAGATCAAATCAACCACTTTGCATCATGCAGATTAAAATGCCACCATAAAACTGTTCCTGACAAATGTCATTGAAATTCTAACCATTCGCTTTTCCTTACATTTCTAAATTTAGTCAGGTAGTTATCAGTATGATAAATGACATTCCCTACCTATGTACTTAGTTGAGGTGAGACTATATACTCTCGGGTCAGGAACTGGGTTAGGAAGGGTCTCCAAGGAAGAGAAATTGGATACTAAAAATGCTTTAGCACAATGCTTAGATCAAGTTTCAGTTAAAGCATGAAAAATGCAGAAGGTTACTTTGCAACGTGGCTCAGGGGTGATTTACTGCTGAGTCTAGCTACTCTTTCACAGTTGGATTAGTTACCAGATTCCAGCTCCTAGATCTTAACAGAATGACTCCGTAAGCTTATCAATGTCCAATGGTGCCCAAATGGAAACTCCATATTCGGAAGCCGTCCCGCAAATACCAGGTGCTGTGAACAATTCACAGAATGACCATCAGGACTACACTGTGCTCGTGAGTTTCCAGGGGCATCTGGCTAGCCACTAGTAGAATGGTGGACCAGACAGACCTTTGGTATGGTAAAAAAAGGCAGTTGTCATGGTCATTTAAAACTGTGTTACAGAATTATGTAAATCTGGTGAAAATGGCAATTTATCCTCACCATATGGATTAAAAGAATTTTTAAAAATTCTTCTTTTAAGATAACAAGTTTACCTCCGTAAGATTTCTTCCAAATGTCTCATTTGCCTGTTACTGCATCCATTATCTCACCACCATTTCTGTCCATGAAAGCCCCTCCACAAGTAGCACTTTCCATAGTGCCCTGGTCTTATCTTTTTATTTTTGGTATAAATGCTAGCAAAGTACACTGATTTTTTTTTTTAACACCACTTCTGAGAGCCGACTCAGACATTATATTTTGTGTCATCCTTAGTTGCGATAGAACCAGACAGGGGTTATGATCTAAATAAATAAAAGTTATCGCTTAGAAAAGATGTAATATTTGCAAATTAAGTGAAAATATCTTATTGTGTAGTTGCTAGGAAATTCATGTGTATATGCTTGCAACAAATAATAATAATTAATAATTAATAATCCTTCCTTTTCATCAGGCAGCAACCAATATGGCTCCATTTATGGCCACACATCTGTGACAACCGGCAGCCTCTTAGATGACCACCACTGGCATTCCGTAGTGATAGAACGTCATGGGAGAAACATCAACCTTACACTTGATAGACACATGCAGCATTTTCGGATCAATGGGGAATTTGATTACCTGGACCTAGACTATGAGGTATGCTGTTCCATGCAGTTGACCGAAACAAACCAGTGTCATCTGACCATGTTCGCTGAAATACTACAAAAGCGCTCAGTTGATGTGCGCTAACAATCCATAATTCAAAAGTTCTTGATGTCAATGTTTATGGACCTATAGTTAAAAGAAGCTGTTTCTCATTTTCCTCTTAGCACTCTACGAAATCTGGTTTCCCGGTCCTCTTTGAAATGTCAGAGTAACCAACTCAGTCAGTGGTATCCAGATAACTGGCAAATCCCCTGCCTATCCAGGTTTATTCAGAGCTGATTATTCGGTGTCATTGAGAAGTCTGGCATGCACAGAGGTCAAGGAAAAGATTGCCAGAACACCCTTTATATGCATCATGGAGATGCTGCCAAAACAGTATCCCTATGACGATCCCTGGGTATCAGTATAAAGGTAGCCTTCCTGACCATTTGGATTGACTGCACCATGTTTTGGATCTCCATACCAAGGCTTCCCTTTTTTGAAGCCCTTCAAAACAGTTGTAGAGTCTCATATGGTGACAGCAATGGTCCAGGTATTCTGCCACTGAGTAACAGTCTTCCTTACACTCATCCATCCAGAGAAGGGAAAACATAAAGCAATCTGATCCTCAGCAACCTCCATGAGCACAGACTTAATGGAAATTAATCCATGTTCTCCTTGCTAGGGTAGAGATTATCAGTAAGATTTCAGGACTGCTTCTTCTTAGGGGGGGTAAACTACATGTCACCATGTCACCAGTCACTTGATAAGTGCTTTAGTGGCAAATATCAGTCCAGAAGCACAGCAGGGAGGGAGCAGCCTGGTGTGGTTGGAGTTTCCGATGAAAAATCATATGGCAAGGAGGTTAAGTACCCACACTCTGTTGCAATTCACTGCTCTCCAAGGGGTACTTTCCAATGGAGAAAAATCATGACACTAAGGCAATGTCAGCTTATTTGTGACTGTGTGCTCATGTGTATTTTGTCCCTTATAGGCAGAATATTTTAAAACAAATACGTATTATGGTAGCCTGATGCAACTGAGTTCTGGATTGTAGCTTATCAAACCGCAAGTGGGGAGATGCTATTTTTAAATATTTCAACGTGTTCAAAAAGAAACATGGTAAACCAGGGCACTAGAATGAGACTTCAGCATAGCGCTGTCCCTGGTGGTGTGATGTCATTTATAGACAAACCTTGGAAGTGATGTGATGTCAGTCCACTCTAGGAATCACCAGAAACTCTATGATTTTAACCACACAGCTTCCAGTGATTCCTAGAGAGGTGTTATTTCACTTCCAGGTTTCCCCGGGACATGATGCCATGGTGTCGCTGACAGCGCCCCCAGTCTATCCCCCCAGTTGCCTGGCAACACTATGCACAAAGCATCTGTACTAGCAGTTGATCTCTACATCGAGCTACATATATTCATAGACTTCAGACCTTCATCCAGGAAAGCATTTGAAGTAAATACGTATGACCAATAATTATAAAAGCAATTTCTGCACGAGGTTGTAGCACTGTGGGTTTTTTTAAAAAAAAGTTTATAAAATCCAATGGGACAATGTTCACATCACTGTCAAATAAATCACATTTTCTTTTCAAAGATAACATTTGGTGGCATGCCTTTTTCTGGAAAGCCAAGTTCCAGCAGCAGAAAGAATTTCAAGGGCTGCATGGAAAGCATCATCTACAATACCAATAATATCACAGACATGGCCAGGAGAAAGAAGCTGGAGCCTTCTCATGTGGTGAGTGCATTGTTTTGGGGTCGTGTGTGTGGAAAGAGCTTTCCATATGGGCTTTCTTGGACCCTATCAACATTTTTTTCCTATCTTGCAGGGAATTTCCCTGCAGCCCAAATGAATGCCCTTACGCCTCATAGACCATCAGTGGAAAATGCAATTGCTTTCAGCACCTGTAGGGTTTTAACAGTTTTAGGGGAAAGGGGAAACACACACTAAATGCATTATGTTCTTAAAAGTGTCCGATATTGCGATCCCATTTGTGCCTAAACACAGAATCCAGACTAGGAATGAGGCCATTGTCAAAGAGGGGTATAAAACGATGTGCAAAATCCCACACCCATCTTGTATTTGCCTGTTTGGGGGTCAGTTTTACTTGTTACCTGGCTGCGTGTCTGTTGTTGTACTTGCTGGGTAATAACATCTACCCTGTGACTTAGACAGTTATTAGGGTTGCCAAAGTCCATGTGTTTCCTGGAGGTTCCCTCAGAATTGCAACCGTTCTCCAGACGACACACATTAGTTCCCCTGGAGAAAATGGGTGCTTTGGAGGGTGAACTCTAGGGCATTATATCCCCCTTCCCCAAGCTCCATCCCCGAATCTTCAGGAGTTTCCCAACCGGGAGCTGGCAGCCCTAGAGGTTACTTAATCACACAGGTGTAACCCACATTAGCTGATGTTCTGCCAGTGTGATGCCTTTCAACTCTCCTCTCTCTCATGATACGAACCCCCTTAATTCTGTACTTTTCTTTGGCTCTTCTGTCCCTCTTCAATGTCTTTTTCCTTTTTTCCCCATCTGCCACAGTGCAGTTCCCTCCATTCTTTCACCAGCTTAAGGACATAAGAAGAGCCCTGCTGGATCAGACCAGTGGTCCATCTAGTCCGGCATCTTGTCACACATAGTGGCCAACCAGTTCCTCTAGAGGGCCAACAACAGGGCATAGAGGCCAAGGCCTTCCCCTGATAAGAATGTAAGAAGAGCCCTGCTGGATCAGACCAATGGTCCATCTAGTCCAACATCCTGTCTCACACAGTTACCAACCAGTTTGGTGTAGTGGTTGAGTGCATGGACTCTAATCTAGGAGAACCGGGTTTGATTCCCCACTCCTCCACTTGCACCTGCTGGATGACCTTGAGCGAGCCATAGTTCTGTCAGAGCTGTTCTCTCAAGGACAGTTCTGGAAAGAGCTCTCTCAGCCCCGCTTACCTCACAGGGTGTCTGTTGTGGGAAGGGGGAGGGAAAGGAGTTTGTAAGCCCCTCTGAGACTCCTTTGGGTAGTGAAGGGCGGGGTAGAAATCCAATCTCCTCTTCTCTGGAGGGCCAACAACAGGGCAGAGAGGCCTGATGTTGCCTCCTTCCTGGCTCTGGGATTCAGAGGCTTACTGCTTCCAGATGTGGACTTTCCCGTCTGTCACCATGGCTAGTACCCAATGACAAACCTATCCTCCAATATATCGAATCCCCTTTTAAAGCTGTCTATCCCTGTAGCCAAGGAGCTGCGGTGGCTCAAGTGGTTAAGACGCTGAACTGCAGGCTGTGGAAGGTCAGTAGTTCAGCAGTTCGAGACCCGGGTGCCACATGATGGAGTGAGCTCCCGTCTCTAGTTCCAGCTCCTGCCAACCTAGCAGTTCAAAAGCAAGAAATTTCAAGTAGATAAATATGTACCACTTCGGTGGGAAGATAACAGCGTTCCATGCGCCTTGGTGTTTAGCCATGCCGGCCACATGACCACGGAAACGTCTTCGGACAGCGCTGGCTCTTCGGCTTTGAAACGGAGATGAGCACCGCAACCCTAGAGTCGGACTCGACTGGCTTTCGAGCAAGGGAACCTTTACCTTTTTATCCCTGTAGCCATCCTCTGGCAGTGAATTCCGCATATTCGTCACTCAGCTGTGTAAAGAAGTATTTCCTTTTATTCATCCTGGGCTTTGATCTCAAACTCTCCCAGTCTCGGATTTCATCCCCTTGGTGTGTCTCTTGTTCACGCCTACAGGCTCTCCTCTACTTTCCACAGAGTTAATTAACACCACTGCCGCTCCCGCCTGATGCCTCAGAGCTGGCCAAGAGGTGGCTGAGCAGAGTTGCCAGGCAACCTCGGCGTGGTCGGCCCTGAGCCCCATCAAGCAGGTATCACGACACCAAGCAGCAGCTGGCGGCATCTGGGTCCCTTTTAAAAGGTCAAGGAGCCTTGTGCTGTGGAGCCTACATTTGCCACCGGGTGGAGAGGCAGGAGAACAGACGTGGCCTCCGGTTCCGCCTCGAGGCCGGCGGCATTTTATTTCCTTATTATTTAAGACTGCAGCAGGCCTTCTAGGCACAGTGTTGGCAATGCATGAATGATGCAGCCAGCAGCTATTGGGAGCTGGGATAATTTGAGGGTTTGCTTGATTTTCAGTGCAAAGGAAGGCTGTAAAAATCGCTTTCCCCTTTGTTTTCAGGCTGAGTTACTCCTGTTGCCTTACCTCTAGGAAAACAAGATCAATTTTGTTCTAATTAAATCAACATAGATTTTCATTTCTTCCTCTCTCCCTCTCTCCCCCTCTCTCTCATTGCCCCATGGGATTGGTTTAGCATTAAAAAAGAGGCTACAGTGATGTGCATTATTTTAGAAATCTAGAAGAAATACCGCATTACACCTGGCCGCGAACCTGATTTCTGAGATTATTGTGAACACACAGAATGGTAGTGCGGAATAACGTCTGGTTCTTGTACATTTCTGGCATCCTGAAATAAATAATACACCCAAGTGTAATTCATGTTAAGGCTAGGCGAGGATTGGGTCCTTTAAGCCAAAAGGTCCTTCCGTCCAGCTGTACATGTGGGGAGGGAAGAAGTCACAAGCGTCAGAAAGCTCCTCGACTCACCTGTAGCCATGAGGTTATGGGCCTACATCCCCCAAAGTCTCTTGAGACCCAGGATTTGTCAGTTTACAGGGTTGCCAGGTCCCCTCTTGCCGTGAACGGCAGATCCAGGTTGGGCAACTCTTGGAGACTGGACAATGCAACCTGGGAAGAACAGGGACCTTGTCAGAGGTCATTTCGGGGGGGAACGCGGGGGATCGCAGTTCTCCCGGGTGCGGTATGGGGGCGGGGCACATGACGAAGCCCCGCCCCCTGCTTCCAGCCGCCCTGCTTCCGGCCCTCATTCAGCCAGGAGGAGGCAGGAGAAGAGGGAGGGTAAGTTGCTTCCTCCTTGCCTCTCCCCACCCCTGCCTGCCTGGGGCCAGGGAGGGCCTTCGCGGGTCTTCCTTGCACTCCCGCTGGCCTTGCAGGTCCACCGCCGGGCCCTTCATGGGGCTCGGCAGTGGAGCTGCAAGGCCGGCAGCGGCTGCCGGGACCGTTGGGGGCGGGGTGTGTGGCCTTATGACACACTTCCGGTGATGTCAGGGGGTGTTGCCTTATGACATACTTCCGGTGATGTCAGGGGGTGTGGCATATGCTAATGAGTTATGCTAATGAGTCCCCCTAGCTCTTTTTCTACGAAACGACCCCTGGACCTTGGTGGGGTACAATGCTGTAGAGTCCACCTTCCAGAGTGTCCGTTTTCTCCAGGGGAACTGATCTCTGATCTCTGTCGTCTAGAAATGAGCTGTAATTCCAGAGGATCCCCAGGTCCCACCTGCAGGCTGGCATCGCTAGACCCTTAGGAGTATTGCTAGGTTTCTGGTGAGAGGCAGGAATGGGACACAGACCAAGGGGGAAGAGAGACAGCATTGGATAGTGGGTTAGAGTTCCAGAGGGGTAGCTGCACTTAAGTAGGGCTACCAGCCTCCAGGTGGGAGCCAAAAATGGGAGCTCACGGGAGGAAGTGGAATACCAAAAACAAACATCCGTGACAAAAATAACGAAGAGTCAATAAAGATAAGTTGCAAAAAACGTTTACTGTAGGAATTCTGTAGAAAATGTTATTCTATTATGGCTCACACGCTAACGAATACTGCACACTGAAAACAATTCGTTTCACAATATTTGCTTTATCTGAGCGTGTAGCAATCCCAATCTTATCAAGTCTTGAAGGAAACATTCCTTGTTGACTCTCTCACATTGTGAAGACCTTGGGTTCTGTTATTACAGAGCCAACAAGGGATTTCCTTCAAGAGTAGTAATGCACACACGTAGCCTGGAAGTGACGGGAGGACACCAGGCACACTGGGGGCGGGGCCACGGCCATACAAGGGAAAACCATAGAGTTTTCCCTTGTATGGCTGTGGCCTCGCCCCCAGCATGCCCGGCATGCCTGCGTCACTTCTGGGTGACGCGCACGTCGGGGTGGAGTTCCCCCCGGGGCCCGATCTTGCGGCGCCGGGAAAGGGGCCTCTGGGGTGGGGGGTTCCCCGCCCGCCGGGGGGACTTGGGATCCCTACCTCATTCCCCTCATTCCATAGTCCCTATTAGGGTTGCCAGGTCTCTTCTTACCTGTGGTAGGGGGCTTCCGGCTCCTTGTCAGGATTCTTCTGCTCCATGTGCACAAAGTGACGATGTCGTCAGTAGTGACGTCATCATGCTAGGTCCGTCACACGGCGACACTCTAGCATTCAGGGCAAAACCTCTGTGGTGACGATAGAGTTCCCCCAAATATTGGAGCGTCGTACATGAAGGCCCCAGCATGATGTCATCACTACCGGTGACGGCATTGGGTTGGCGACATCCCCACGGGATGCTGCTGTTCAGGGCTGGGGCTTCCTCTGTCGGCCAGCTGGCCAGTGGAGGCCCTGAAATTGGGGGTCCCCTGGCCCCACCGGGGGGGGTGGCTACCCTATAGTTCACCACTTTAAATTGGGAAATTCCTGGAGATTTGGGGATGGAGGCTAGGAAGGAAGGGTCAGATTTGGGGTGTAGAGGAAGCTAAGCAGGGATGTCATGTGACAAAGTCCACCCTCCACACTAGCTGTTTTCTCCATGGGAACTGATCTCTGTAGCCTGGGGATCAGCCGTGATTCCAGGGGATCCCCAGGCCCCACCTGGATTTTCCCAGGGCTCCTTTCACTCTTCCATTTACCCAAATCTTACTTGGCAATGACCTTAACACCTTTTGCCCAAACTGCTACAGTGGAAACCTGCTTATCCCTAGTAGGAACTTCTGTTAAGAGTAATACCAAAATATTCACCATTCTCCAGAAATATTTGCCAGTTACAAGCTACAAGGATTTCCCCCCCATTTGTTTTTAAACAGGGAAATTTAAGCTTTTCCTGTGTGGAGCCGCATACCGTGCCTGTCTTTTTCAACGCCACCAGTTATCTGGAAGTTCCTGGTCGCCTGAATCAGGATGTGTTTTCAATCAGCTTTCAATTCCGGACTTGGAATCCTAATGGACGTTTACTGTTCAGCAACTTTGCCGAAGGGCTGGGCAGCGTGGAGATTGACCTGATCGAGGGCAAAGTCAGCGTCCACATCAATGTCACTGGCGGGAAGAAGAATCAAATAGACATCTTTTCAGGTGAGTGCAAGGAAGACATTTCTTTTCTTAAAAGTCCAGTCGCCGTAATTATAGAACTGTGACCTGTGTCTCTGCCTGGTTTTCATTTTTTAAATAATGCTGGGCGGCCTCGAGTCAGAACAAAAAGTTGCTTTGAGTGTGGTAGGAGAACTGAAAACTATTTCTTACAAAATCCTTCATTCTACAGTGGCATTAAGAAAACTGTTGAGTATACTTGGCACATGAGATTTTAGGTGCATGAACATGAGGAGCAGGGTCTTTTCAGTGGTAGCACCTTGACTGTAGAATTTTCTGTCTTGGTTGAGCTTGAGGCATCAGGTGCAAATGTTAGCATGTTTGTAAGGGGCGTTGTGTGGTCTTTCTTTAACAAAAACCTACTTTCCTGTTTTAAAGAATTGATTTTTATTCTGTGCCCTCCATTAGTTTTGTTGCCCTTTTCTGGTTGTATTGAAACTCTTCAGGTTGGTCTTCATGGATCCATACTGGCTATCGATCGATTAACTTGTAATGTTTTTAGCGGTTCGCTTTTTGTGGCTGTGCTTTGTGTTGTTCAAGATGTTTTAATTATTGTATTATTAGGGAAATGAAACAGGACAGAAGTGTTTGAAAATGAATAAAGTAGGAATTGATTTATCTACTAAAGGATGCCTTTATCGCACATTGTTCCTAACTTCTCCATCTATCATTGTGGATTGTAAAATAATGGTGAAAAAGCTGGAAGTCATCAAGGCCATAGCAGGGCAAGTGGTTTTTGGCAACACTTCAAGGTACAGCCAATGCCAGGCGTCATTTCATAGAAAAAGAGGTGCAGGAGCTCATTAGCATAAATCATTAGCATAACTTATTGCATATGCCACACCCCCTGACATCACCGGAAGTGTGTCAGAAGGTAACACCCACCACTCAGGCTCCTCTGGACTGTTTTGGATTGCTAGCTATTGGGGGGGGGGCGTGCAGATCTGTCCTCGCAGAGGAGGGAGAGCTTGTACCTGAATAAAATTTGGTCTTAAATGTGCCACTGGACTGTTTTGGACCAGGAAGGGCTCTGCAACTTACCTGGTTGCTTCTTGCTCTGACTGAGGGCTGCTGGGAGCAGGGGGTGGGGCTTGTTGCATGTGCCCACCCCCTGGGCTCTTTACTGCCAGAGCTCCGCTCTTGTGTGCTCCTGCAGGAAATGACCCCTGGCCAATGCTAAGTTTTGCATCTAGAATGTTTTAACAGACAGACGTACAGCAAACAGTAGCCCTGTGCTTAAATAATTCAGAACTGAGGCAGTTGGGGAAAGAAGGTCTAAGTGTGAAGAACAAGACTCCTCCTATCGAAACAAAAAAAGAGTGTTCTTTCTGGGAAAATTAACAAGTTAACTCACAAGAAGCATGTATTCTAAGTCAAGAACTTTAAAATCACATCTAATTCAGGTGGGAAAGTATACGTGACTTTGACTCACTGGCAGAACAACTGCTTGGCATGCAGAAGGTCCCAGGTTCAATCCCTGGTATCGCCAGTTCAAAGGACCAGGCAGTAGGTGATATGAAAGACCTCTGCCTGAGACCCTGGGGAGCCGCTGCCAGTCTGAGTAGGCAACACTGACCTTGATGGACCGAGGGTCTGATTCAGGACAAGGCATCTTAGAGTCGCCAAGCCAGTGGCCATCTTCTGGAAGTGCTACTTTTTGGGGGGAGCACGGGATAACGTAGAATAAATAGCATATTGTTAGTCTTGCTTAGAGCTTGGGGTCATGTAGCAGACATGCAAATAAAGAAGCACCTATTGAATTTCCCCATTGTGATTTATCAGCAAGCCACTTTGACTGCATCCATTTCTTCACACGTCGAATTCAGAACAACAACCTGGACTGGATTCACAGGCTGGCATTCAGTCAGGCCCTAACCAGGTGCAGAGATGCTTTGCTTCATAGCCTGAACCATATGAAGTACCAGTCCACTCATTGATTTGAGAAACAAGCCATACAAAATCCAGATTTTTTTCCCCAGTAACTCATCAAGTTTGGTGGAGAGCCAGTTTGGTGCAGTGGTTAAGTGTGCGGACTCTAATCTGGGAGAACGGGGTTTGATTCCCCACTTCTCCACTTGCACCTGCTGATGTGACCTTGGGTCAGTCACAAGCTCTGGCACAGCTGTTCCTGAAAGAGCAGTTTGTGTCAGAGTTCTCTCAGCCCCACCCACCCCACAGGGTGTCTGTTGTGGGGAGGGGAAGGGAAAGGAGTTTGTAAGCCGCTCTGAGACTCCAAGTGAAGGGCGGGGTATAAATCCAATCTCTTCTTCTCTTCTTCTTCTTCATCCATTCAAAAACTCATAGCACCCCCCCCTTAAATTGTCTTGTTTTGTCAAGTTTTACAAAAAGTGTCATTCATAATTTGCACAGCATTTTGACTTCGGTTTGCTCTTTGACTATTACCTTTGTGAGATTAGGAGCGTGCAGCCTACAGATATTAATTGTATTCCCTTTGTGGCCTTCATGTAGACTCATTAAACAAAATCAGTAGTCCTGTAGAAGAATATTGCATTTTATCTGTTACTAAAATTAATCCCTGCGAATTAGCTTCCCTAGAGTTTAAATGTGATCCTGGACAGAGATGAGTTTGGATGGTGTAAATTTAGGATTGCATTATTAACATCTTCGATGTTGCCTGTCGGTTATAGAAGGGCACTTCCATCTTAAAATGACTGTTTTTGCCAGTTCTCCCGTCCCACAGTAGACCTTGACTTTACCCCCATCTTGAGGGTCCGCTGGCCTTCACTAACAAAATGGGGGGGGGTGAGGTGGGAAGTGATGCTAGAGGTGGGAAAGAGCAATCTCTGTGAGGTCTGCCCTGCACCCAGATCTCATTGGATACAACACACTAAATGTTCAGTTTGCAAACTGCTTTCACAAGTGTGTGGTTCAAACACACCACCTAATTAATTTCGTTTATTTTGTTTTTGTATTTTGATCTTTTCTTTTTTTTCTTTTCTTCTTTGGTTTTCCATTAAAAATGCTCAACATGCAGATCAATAAAGACAGCACATTCAAACAGCTGCGACAATAATAGCTTAAAAAGTACAAAGTCACTAATAAGTCGGGGTTTTGTTTTTGCTTGGATGCAAATCCACATAATGAGGGTTTGAACTATGTTTGGAATTAACACACCTGAACCCAGGGAGCCACCGTTTGATCTCTTGGGGGAATTTTTTAACTTACATGGTTACACATAATTTTTGTGATGGAAGAAATAGTAGTGTGGCTGGGGGAGGGAGCTGAAGCCCCCTCTCCACCCCCCAGCATGGTCACAATCAGAATTCAGCGTGTGCATCTGGGAGGCACAGAACTCCTTTCATAATCCGTATTCTGTTTTTACTCCTTGGTAAATTCCTGTTTCTTCTGGGCTTTCCTGCCCCACATATGTTTTGCTCCCTCTCGTGGTCAATTTGATATCATACAGGTTTATTTCCAGCATATCTCCCTGCAGTTTTAAACATTACCAGTAGGGCTATTTTTGGGCAGGAAGTCACAGCAACGGAGTTCCGGCTGGCTTCTGACTTGGCCACGCCCATGCCTACAGCCAAAACCTCTGTGCATGCATGGCTACAGAGGGAAGGCCTGGAGAGCGACCCCCTGTCAGCAAGCTGCCAATGTTTTGTTTAATTCTTTCTGTGTGCACTTGTTTGCTTTCACTTTCATATGTAGAACTGTTGATGCGCATAATTGCTTAGCCTGCCGAAACGTCCATATCTCTCAAGGCCACAGGTGGTTGCCGCTGCTTGTTAGTTGCTGGAGGCGCTCACAAAGCACCGTGAGAAAGAGATAACATATGCTGCCTAGAAGCGTTTGCTCCCAGGCCCGATGGCGCGCGGGGGAACCCCCGCAATTGGGCCTCAGTAGTTTGAATGTACTATAACATGCCATGCCCTTTGCTCACCCTTCATTCTGAACAGTGATTTTGTCCATGCACCTATAGCTTCAAATAAAGTAAAACCTTTCTACAAGTGTGTACTTCGTTGATGCTGTGGGAAGTCTGACACCC